CAAGCTGACGCCCCAACTCTTCAAGAGCTCTGCTGTAGATGCTCAGGAACTATCTGATGGAGGGGTGGTTTTATCAGCTGGACGGGTGATGATTAGTTGAAGGAAAGAGCATTTTTCCATTCTGTATCAACAATCTTTATCCCCACAGGCCAGATTCTGGATCTGATGCAGACATTTATACAGTTTCTTCATTAGCCAGAAGTGAAAGCAATGTAGATTGCTCTCTTAGAGTTGTTTACAGGGTCTAACCCTCTAAGACTCTTGGACATTGTCTAAGACTGAGATCTAGCTAAGATGAGAAAGGTTTTAAACATTTTCTCATCCACAGAAAACTTAAGTAGGCAAGTGCACCTGGGGACCACCAACTCATCTTACCCTTTCCTACCAGTAGAAACAAGAAAAAAAAAAGTGATTCATTTTGGGACTTCTCTGGTGGTGCAGTGGCTAAGAATCTGCCTGCCATTGCAGGGGACACAGCTTTGAGCCCTGGCTCCGGAAGATACCACATGCCACGGAGCAACTAAGCCCGTGCACCACAACTACTGAGCCTGCGCTCTAGAGCCCATGAGCCACAACTACTGAAGCCCACGTGCCTAGAGCCCGCGCTCTGCAGCAAGAGAAGCCACCGCAATGAGAAGCCCGCGCACTGCAACGAAGAGTAGCCCCTGCTCGCTGCAACTAGAGAAAGCCCGTGCACAGCAATGAATACCTAACTCAGCCAAAAATAAATAATTTTTTTAAAAAAGTGATGCATTTAGTAAGAAAAGAAATAGTCTTTCACTCAGATAATGAATTGTTAATTAACAAGAAAAAAATAAAATAAATGAAAATATAGACACTGCCACACTCTAGATGTAGAATGATGATTTTTCAGACTGCATTCTTTGCAGTTCTAGGCTTCCATAGAGAGTTCTGTGGGATTCCCACTGGACTGGGGGTGGGGGGGGAGGAGGTTGAATTCTGGTCCCCACTCCTGCTTCAATGAGAGCATTGCTCATTTTATCTATTTTATATATTAGGATCCAGCATAAGATTTTTAAAGACTTTTAATATTAAAAAAAAAACAGGAGGGGCTTCCCTGGTGGCGCAGTGGTTGAGAGTCCGCCTGCTGATGCAGGGGACACGGGTTCGTGCCCTGGTCCAGGAAGATCCCACATGCCGCGGAGCGGCTGGGCCCGTGAGCCATGGCCGCTGAGCCTGCGCGTCCGGAACCTGTGCTCCACAACGGGAGAGGCCACAGCAGTGAGAGGCCCGCGTACTGAAAAAAAAAACAAAAACAGGAATTCATCCTCTAGGATCTCTAGTGACCAATTCAATCACTGGTGAATTGTCCATTCCTGAAAAGATGTTATATTAACATGCAGCTGAATTCCTAGCTCAAACTTTACCTTGGATTTGCCATAAAAGCAAGAGAGAGAGGTTGATGGATCCCCCCCCAAAATGAAATAAAACTGGGAGGAAGTTCCTGGTGAGAGATGGAAGGTGGTTAGTTTCCTGTTTGGGATTGGGAGGTGGAGGGCATGGGAAATCACCTCCACCAGCGGTGTGTGGGACTAGGGATGAGAGAGTGCTTCCAGGCTATGTGTGTGCTATTCCCCGCATGCCCTGGCTCCACCACTGCTGTGCCAGAGGCACTAAGAGGCGGAAAAGCAGCCCAATCTAGAGTGGTGCAGAGCCCAGCTGAAGGGAGGAGCAGGTAACACAGCAGGTTGCCAGCACCCAGGCGTTTTCTTCTCCCAACATGATCCCACCGGCCCTGGCAGGCTCCCACCCCTTCAGTCCCATCAGATGCTTACAGCCTGGAGATGAGGGTGTTGAAAAATGTGAGGGCCTAGGATGGAGGTTTACCCGGAGTGCTTGGGATTGAGATAGGAAGTAACAGAGAATGAGAGAGTCCAGTTTGTAATTCCAAAAACAATCTGCCTCAATATATTTCCAGCTCCAGATATATATTCCCAACAGAATTGATCCAAGCTAGGGCCTGAGATGTTCTCCCTCTTCCCGATTTTGCATTTGCAGTGAAGGTAGCAGATAATCTCAGGGCAATGTGAGCTCACGAGCAGCAACTGGAAGACCCCTGAGGAGTGTAAGTACTGTCATCTAAAGACACACTGGAGCACTCTTACCAGATGAAGTGGAATTTGTGGACCAGAGAGAAGAATCGTTTACAATTAGTCTAATAATATACTAAAAATGATAAGGGAAAATATTGGAAACGTGAAGCTATTGCTTCCATTATGAAGAAAAAGCCAACTGGAGATATGAAACATAAACAAATAAAATAGGGACTTCCCTGGCAGTACAGTGGTTAAGAATCCGCCTGTCAATGCAGGGGATGCGGGTTCGATCCCTAGTGCGAGAAGATCCCACATGCCGCAGAGCAACGAAGCCTGTGCGCCACAGCTACTGAGCCTGTGCTCTAGAGCCCACAAGCCACAGCAAGAGAAGCCACCGCAATGAGAAGCCCGCTTGCCGCAACTAGAGAAAGCCCGTGCGCATCAACAAAGACCCAATGCAGCCAAAAAAATAAAATAAAGTCTCTTAAAAAATAAAAATAAAATAAAAGGGAATTCCCTGGCAGTCCAGTGGTTAGGACTCCGTGACTCCACTGCAAGGGGCAAGAGTTCGATCTCTGGTCAGGGAACTAAGATACCACAAGATGCGAGGTGCTGCCAATAAATAAATAAAATAAAATACAGATTGATAGTAGAATGGATAAAAAGAACAAGTTAATAAATTAGAATATTAAAACAAGACACTCTGTAAAAAGGTACAACAGATGGGAATACAAAAGAAACATTAAATGATATGGGTCAAAAATCATATAGCTGAAATCTCAGAAGCAAAGGAAAAAAATCAAGGTAGGGGAGGAAAAATTTGAAGAAATAATTTTCAGAATTTCTCAGAATTAGAAAAAAAAAAGACCTAAGAACTCAGTTTTAAAAGACTTACAATGTGCCAAAAAATAAATGATAGGAGCCCTCAGTGGGATACATTATAGTGAAATATATGACCACTGAAAATAAATAGGAAACTCTCAAAGATTTTAAAGAATAAAAGCTCATTACATATAAGAAAAAAGAATCGAATAGACATTGGACTTCTCAGTAGTAACCCCAGATGCATAAAGTAATATTTTCAAGATGCTGAAGGGAAAAAAATACAACAGCATCGAACACCTAATTTTCTATATAGCTAACTAATTTTTTAAGCCCCAAAGTGACACAGAAATATTAACAAAGACCATATTTGAAAACACAATTGGATTGAATATTCCGCTAAGAAAAATATATTACCAGGAAAACGCTATTTGGTGTTGGAAATAAGGATAAGTTAGAAAGTCTCATTCTTGTTTAAATAAAAAAGAACTAAAAAATAGAGAGAGAAAAATTATATCTATAACAATCCAAAACTAAATTTTTAGACAATACTAGTAGGGCGTGTGCCGAGAAGTGCAGAAAAAGCAATGGGTGAGATTGTGCTAAGGACAATGTTCTGTGTGGAGGACATACAGAGATATTGATAAGTTTAAGAAATTGTTAGGGAA